TGAAGTGAAGCAGGACTAGTTCGATTCGAAATTGATTGTTCAAAGCATTACTGGCCATTGTAACCAGTAACAACTAAGAAATTATCGCACGCTATTGTAGGATGTAGAATGTGAGAAGATTGAAAAAATAAGCTAAGGTTGCCATGAAAGAGCAAGATAGTTCAGATTATGCTCTCCAAATGTCTCGGGGACTGACTTTAAGATCAATATCACTACGAAAAACGCGAAAAGATCATCAGCACGATCATTCACATTTATTCAAATACATGCAGCAAAAGGTTTTTTTTAGTAATCCTGAGTAATTGACCAAGGTGCTACCGCTCATCATTGCTATTGTTAATGAAGAGCAGAGCACAATTTTTTAGAGAAGCTGGGAATCACAATACAAAGTTGCTGTTGAAGTTCTCATAATAAATCGCCATCTTTACTTTCACTTGCTGTATATTCCTCTTTTGACAGGATATGATGTGGAATAGTAATGAAATCAAAAAATAATAATAAAGTGAAAAAGCATGATCTGAAATACAATAATAAGGATGCTGAGATACGGGCTACTCCGGGCCATCACGCAAAAACCCTTTTGCATTGCACCATCGAGGCACTCGTCCTGCTTTTCTCTCATCTACGCTTCAGCCATATACGTTACTGTCAGATATCACTAGTTAAAGGGAGTGATTTGATGGGTACGAGTACAAATTGACAATGATTTAGATTTGCTGAAACCATTGTCGAAGTCACAACCATTGACATCTATTTACTGCCTATTTTTTCCATCACGACAGGCTACGATGTGAAACATAAAAAAGGCAATTCAAAGAGGAACTGTGTATCTGAAGTGAAGTAGAATTGATTACACGATTATCCTTTACGGTCGATTATTAAGAGCATTGACACTTCTTGAAGAGGACAAAAATGTCGTGAAATACCACATAAAAAACGAGCTTCAAAGGAAGACATTTTTGATTATAAAACTCACGTGTTCACAGTGGGCATCCCATGTGCATTGAACGATCAAGAAGTGAGGAATTTGAGAGAGGTCGGAGTCTAAGCGCCATAACAACAATAAATCAAAAGGGCGACTCTCATTGAACTTTGACATGAAAAATGGAGGCTATCTTAGGCTGATACATGTTCTTTTATATCAGTGGCTAACTATTCGGCGACTTTGTCATTCTCAGAACCTACACTTGCTACATTATACCATAGCCAATCATTCTGTTGGAGAAGTACTTATCCGACGTTTTGATTTTCCATCAAGGTCTTCTTTATGCGGACATAAAGTAAAAAAGTTAGAATTAGAATCTACTCGTTCCGTTTATGTTTCCATCAGCTCGTTCTTTCAAGAAATCACGTATTTTATGGCCCTCCGTCTTTACTATTATGACATTTCATGCGATACTCAGTTTCACATATTCGAAGCGCTTTTGTAAAGCGCGATAACAAATGACTCCGCTACATACGTGCGATTTGGTTGCACACAACGTAGGTGCCTCAAGGAAATCTTGGCATGAGCTGATATGAACTTTAACAACTGTGTTCAGGCGTTTTACACAAATGTTTTAATGACACGGCAACATGCCATTCACAATCTTCTGAAGAAGATCGAGTTAAACTGAATATTTGTGGCTTTTCGATTCAACACCTAACGACTCTTCATTAGTTCTCTTAGGATCACACCAAATTTCAACATGCCTGATAAGATTTTTTGAGCCATGCGTGTGGTCTGTTAAGGGCACTTATACAGTGTTTCGTGTTTCTACACTTACATACACATATTTCGGCCTTGAAGCCTCGTCAATTGCAAGGTGCCTATCGTCTGAGCCAATCCCTCTTAGGGGGAAACCCCTTACATAAAAGTAGCGCAGACTGATTTGAGCGTGGTTTTAAGAAATCACCTGAAACGAATGGTATGATATTTCATGATTACCAACCAAAACAATCGTGTGTACAGCACTGTCTGTTGGGTATTTTTATCACTTAACGGCGCATGTAAATATTACTTCTGCAGTTCTTTTATGTAGGGGAGATCTGTCTAAAAAGGATGTATCTCGTGGGTACGTACCGACTTGTAAAAGACGTATTATCTCCAAAAAGGTTTGGCTCAGAAAAGAGGCGCCGTATTATTGATGAGCCTGCAAGGACGAAATACGTGTATTACATTGTATAAGTGCCCATAACAGACAACATGCAAGGCTCAAAAACAATTATCAAGAAAATGACTCTCTTGAAGAATGCCTAAACTGCCCAACATTAAGGAGGTGAAAAGGAATTTTCACAGATCACATTGTGGCAACGAGGCAACGGATTAGCACCAAGCTGCCTTTGCGTCATGTGTCTTAGTGTCGGACGTCTTAGTTATCAGCAGCTGTCCAATACCCTATTGTCGATACATAGACGATCTCCATGTTATTGCTCTGCACAAGAGAAGATGAACAAATGTTTTGAACTTGTTGTGTTCACACCGGAAAAATTTGCACAGAACTGGCCTTCGATTTTGAACTCTCAAACACACTCTCCGAAAGCTATACTATGAAATTGTATCAGAAGCCAAGTAGTAAGAATCTACTGGCGCATCTCTTAGTATCTCTATCACCCATCTTCTTGTCATTAACACACGAAAAAGCACTTGCCCAATTAGGTACCGAAGAGCTGTAAGTGTTTGCACGGTAGAAGTGCGATAGGAGTCACTACAATTGCCACGACAAATAGCCACATCAAATAGCTACGAAAGTACAGCCACTCATGTTTGGTCAAAAAAGATAGATAGATCTACAACGAAAACAATGGTGTGCTAAACCCAAATGAAAGGATTTCTTTGATACTACTACCCTACATGACAAACAATGTAAAGCCGAAAAAATTCCAAACCAGTGGAGGACGTCGCGCACAGTCATCATCCATATGAAGGGAGACTGAGAAGATTTTCGCAACTATCGTCCAATCTGCTTGTAAAGCATACTTTACAAGCTTTTTACGAAGATCATTTTTCTACGCATATCAACAACTTTGGATGAGGCGCAACCAGTTGAGCAAGCAGGATTTCGACAGGGATTCTGTCACATGATGTCACAAGGGACATGAGCCACATCCAAACGGTGTCGAGTGAGGGTCATAGAAGTCTGTCGGGAGTACCATCTGCCCCTATCCTAATATGAAAAAGCATTTGATAGCGTCGAAACGAACGGAGTCCTATCAACACTTATAGCTCAAGGAGTGGATCCGTCCTACATAAGAACTTTATCAGACTGCTACAGGCACTGTACCACGAAAGTACAGCTCCTTCATTGACCTCTGACCATACCCATTGGAAAAGTGGCTCGACAAGGCGATACGATATCGCCAAAGCTGTTCACCGCTGCAATGCAGTGGATATGAAGTAGCTTGATTGGGACGAGAAGGGCATACACATCAATGGAAACTTCTTGTCAAAGCCCCGTTTTGCGGATGACATTGCCTTATTCTTGAAAAGAACTACTGAAGCAGAGACGATGCTCAAGGAACTTAACGAAACGGGGAAGAAGATTGGACTACGCATAAATCGCATGAGAACCCAATTAATGAAAAACCAATGGTGAAATGATGAACATATCAGACTGGATGGATCTTTGATTACCAAGACCTCCTTGTACGTGTACCTTGGTCGTCCACTGAATATGGGGAACGATATGAAGGAGGAACTTGACAGATGAACCGTCATACTAAGAAGATTAGACGACAGATGGGCTAAACGAACTGCAGAGTGGACGCCACGAGAGTACATCCGTCCATCCGTCCCCTAAGACGACCTCCTACACGTTGGGAGGATGTGTTCGGTAGAAAAATTAATCAGCAGTAGTACATCTGTATTCGTATTAACTGTATTTGTATCTGCCAATATTCTACAGATCACATATGAAACTCGCGCCATGAAGCCACCGCCATGGACGACAACCGCGAGAATACGAAACGAATGAAAGATGTGCTGGGGCCCGCGCAATTCATGATGACGGACCGTCCAAGTTTCCAAGTAGTAAGTTCTCCGTTCCGGGAAAATTCCGGGAATCTGGTTTCTACAATATCTACATCAAATGATGGAATATCGCGTAGAGGACTTCTCAAGGAACTTCCAAAATCTAAAATACAAGTAATTCTGATTTTCAACAAGCGTTGAAGCTGTAAAAAGATATTTTCGCATTGGATAGACTGCTATAAACGTTTATACGAAAAAAAAGGGCTCAGTTGTCTTAAAATTCTCTACTATTCAACATGCAAACTACATTATTCAGAAAACAACACATTTCCAACTCTTTATCACAAAACTTTATCGAACGATCGAAAATCAGAGACGCCGTTCTACACGCCAGGATATCGAAAACAAGGTGGGCCGGACACGTGATGCGCTTCAACGACAACCGATGGACGAGAGCCGTTACCGACTGGATTCCTCGGGACGTCAAGCGCTCTAAAGAAAGACCACTGACCTGTTGGTCCGATTTCTTCACGAAAGCGATAGAAGAAAGATATGATGCTCAGCGAATCCCTAGAGCGAGGAGGACCCACTAGGCTACTCTTGCACGCGATAGGAAAAAATGGAAGAGTTGCTGGTACCCGCTCGAGTCACTCGACGATCAACGGGACGACAGGTGATACAGGTGATCACAAAACACAATTTCTTGCAATACACGACTTCTAGGAGAATCTTCAACGAAGGGGCCTCAAGTATGCAGCCCGAATACGTCTTCATAAAGCTTGCATTGATCGGACTAAAGAGTAGTTCTCTAGAAATGATTCATATTTCTGACTCTGACATTATTTTTACAGCGCAAAAAATAGACAATGAACAATTTTTTTATATAATCAGCGTAGGTCAATAGCAATTTGTCTTTCTTCACGCGCTCTCACTGATCAGCAATTCACATTTATTGCGTAGCATTTGTACTTCACGTAATCAAGAGTTAGTACTTCTCGCTCTTCAGTAAACTATTGCGTACCCTTTGATGTAGGGTGATGTGTAAAAATTTCGCATCAGGAGGGATTAGAACCCGCACCTCACTCTGTCCAGGAGCGCATGCTCTAACCCGTTGCACTACTGACGTCCACTTTGCAAACCACTCTTTCTACACTACAACGCATCTATCTGTAAGCCGCAAACCGACAACGGCCTGACCCGGGTAGTCGGTATCGATATTGAACCCAGTCACGCTAACAGATATTGGTTATTGAATATTTATATAGAATTTCTTTATTTAAACGCTTCAAGCGGTGGTGTGAATTTTTGCAAATTTTGCACATTACTCCACATCAAACTGTATATTAAAAATGCTTGATTTTATACGAGTTTGCGGCGTGGGATTTTTACGAAGAGCAGCTCACGCTTGTGTTATAACTGTTTATAGCAATATTAACAATACACCTAATTATTTTTTTAGATATGCATGTGGTCTGTTAGAGGCACTTATGCAGCCCAATACACTTGTTTCGGCCTTGGCAGCCTCGTCAGTTGCACCGTGCCTTTCGTCTTAGCTAATTCCTCTTGAAGGAATCCCAACTCTCTTACACAGAACAGACGCAGACGTACTATTTACACGTGCCATTAAGTGAAAGAAGTCATTAGGTGGGCAGTGTTGCACACTCCATTGCGCTTGGCTGGTGACAATACAAGATAAGCAAGCATTCGATATGTAATTGAGCGATGACCATAACAGATGAATGACCGGAACAGTGGAAAATACGGATTAACAACCCTGTGAACTTTCGACTCACGTATGGACACTTTCTCTAAGAAGAAATACAAGCTGTATGTTTGGTAACAAGTGCAAGCACAAAGAGTAACGGGTAAACAAGCGCTGAGAAGGAGCATAAAAAGTTACAAAACAGACACTTCGATGAGATTGCAACAAAGGTGCTTGCACCATGTTTACTTGAAGAGATGTTATTGCTTCTAGGAAAAGTTCACTGTAGGAGTTTAAGTGAAAACGTGAACCGAATGACCGCATAACATGTATCACCTGTCACCCCGTTGATCATCGAGTGATTTGAGCGGGCACCAGCAACTTTCCATTTTTCCGGAGCTCGTGCAAGTGTAGCCTAGTGAGTTCTCCTCGCTCTAGGGATTCGGTGAGCATCATATCTTTCTTCTAGGTTTATCGAAAGGAAATCGAATCATCGGGTCGGTGGTGTTCCTGTAAAGCGCTTGTTATCTGAGAAGTTTAGTCAGTAACGGCTCTCGTCCACCGGTTGTCGTTGAAGCGCATTACGTGTCCGGCCCCGTTTTATTTTTGATATCCTGGCGTGAAGAACGGCGTTTCTGATCCTCGATCGTTGACGTAGGTGGAGATTTCGGATCCCTTCTTTCATTTGTGAGATACGCAACACTCCTAATGATAGCATCGATCTCTCGACTAGACGTTCAAGAACGCCGAGTGATCTTTCATTCTGATTCCGTAGCGACCAGGTTTCTGCTGCATACGTTAGAACAGGTATAATGTCGAGTCGAAAAGGTGGGCACGGAATCGGACGTTCTTTGTCTTCTTCACTACATCTCCGATGCTCTTAAACGTTCCCCAAGTGCTCGTTTCCTTCTGCCTAACTCTGGAGCTAGGTCGTTCATCATGTTGATTTCACGACCTAGATAGACGTAACTGGAGCATTAGGAGATTGTGTTCCGTTGAACGCGAACGGGGTATCCGAAACCCTCCCGTTCCTCATGAACATCGTTTTCGCTGGATCTAGCTGATGACCAATCTTTCCACAGACGTTGTCGATATCGGGCAACATTCGTTTTGCTTGGCTTGTTCTTGGTGTTATGAGGACCATATCATCAGCAAAGCGAACATGGTTTGATTGTCGACCGCTGATTTTCACTCCCATATCATCTAATTCATTCTAATAATCGCATGACGTCTTGGAGCGTGCTAGTGAATAATTTTGTCGAGATTATATCGCCTCGTCGAGCCCCTCTTCTTACGACGACATCAATGTCGTTGCAGAATGACAATATATTGGTTGTGAGATCTTTGTATAGCTCACAAAGGATGGTTATGCACCGAGCAGGAGCGCCCTGGCTGTCCAGAGCCTCTATGACCGCTTCTGTTTCCACTGAATCAAAGGCTTTCTCCAAATTGACGAAGGTAAGACCGAGTGGTTTTTGTACCCTCGCGAAACTTCAATGAGTCTTTCGATCGTGTGGATGTGGTCTATGGTACTTTACCTTTTCAAAACGATGCTTGTTTGCATGACTAAGAAGATTCATTTGAGATCACAACAATCACAGATAAGAACTAATTCAAGGAACTACAGAAGTAAAAATATAGGAACTATTATGGAAAAAATGGTTACTGTATAAGATATGGGTTTCTTGCAGTTTGAATTAAACCAGGTTGCTCACTAATCTCGTACATAATATTTAAAAAATCTTGAGGATAAGCAAACTGTTGAGAATGACAAGATTGTAAACATTTAGAATGGAAATAATGAATCAGATGGATTTGTAAATTAGATTTTACTGTTTAAGCACTACGGAAAAAGTCCGCGATACGTCGAGTGTGTGATCTGTTCGTTCTGAACCGAGTGCGGAAATATTATCATACAATGAAAAGCTTCACGGACTCTCTCATGAATTAATCTCTTGACGGCTACTCTCGAGGACACGTAGAGTGCATCAATGTTGCGGGTAGAAGTTGAGCTTGGACCAAAAGCGAACTTGCATTCTTAACTTTACAAATCAAATTTAGAACAATTATTCCAGATTCTTTGTTCAATCTCCAGAATTAAATCTTAAGTTAATCCAAATCCGCTTGTCTTCGCTCAACAAAGTGTATACTCCAACTGTTGTTCTCCATTTAACACCGTTACTGGTTACAGAGGAGAACTTAAGGACCGCTCATGTTGATCCTTCCCGAGGCTGGTATCACTAATTGTTATTATTCAAACAAAATTCTTTTTACTTAACGCTTTTAGCTGTGGTTTGATGGTGCAGATATACCCTAATGTTGAGTGATATGCAAAACTTTAACATCAGGCGGGACTCAAACCCACATTTCACCTTTCTGGTGTCGCGTACATAACCAACTGCACTAACGACGTTTGTTTTCCCACCACTCCTTCTTCGCTGAAACGCGTCATCTGTCAGAAAGTTGTTGCTATTGCTTGGATCTTACGCCTAACAAAACGGCTTGAAAGAGGCGAGGATACCGAAAGTCTGCCACCGAACGACAACATCATTATCATCAACAGCAATAACAACAAAAATTGATACCAATCTGACGTTAGATTAACAAGAGCAGCCTTCAAAATCCTCGTACATTAATTCAATGCCAAGATCTATAAAAATCTTTTTCTTTGATTACTAAGAGACTTATTCCCCATAACAGGCTATAATAGAGGAGTTGTCGATAGCGTTTGGTCTTGACTGAAAGTTAGCTTTGTTGTTTTTGTTTCTCATTGAAGTTTGATTCTTGATTAACGTACTTTCCCTTGATATCACGAGACAACTGAGATTGTGCCGGCTTTGTCAACAATAGGGAGGCTCGTTCACTTGTGGGAATCATAGAACGGACGAAACTTAAAACTCTGAGTACTGATCAAACCTTGAGGGATGCGCCATGCATTCGATTTCATCAAGAATCGTCAAAGATGACTAAATGCATAATTGGCCTTCACAATGACTTGCGGTAGGCTACTGATGAATCGAGTCAGTGCTGCTATTCCTAAACAAATCTGGTACCAATTTGCCGACTCTGGAGTGATAGAGGGTTAGTGAGCCTTGGATGCGGAATTAAAGCTATTGACTACATGTGTGTCACAGAGCATCTTCTAAATCACTGCGCCGAACCCGCCCTGTTGCAATAATATTGCATATTCTGGGGTGATGGAGGGCTCGAATCTTTACGGACTTCATAAAATATAAAATATGCATCTATATATGTGTATAAATTTATGCACGTATATATATACATAGTAGATATATGTCATGTTTTCGGAAATCATCATATATATGAATATTTATATTTCCTTAAAATAAATGCATACATATAAAATCTTTACAGACTTTATAACGAATCTACAAATCTTACTTCTTCAAGCACGCCGAATTCCCTACAATTGAGAAGTACGGTAGGACAATCGGATGACAAATTAACAGAATGCGACACATCAGAATGAGCAATTGGTGCGAGGTTACAATCTCTGATGCTTGTGTGGAAACTGAACAAGTTTGGAGCCTTCGTTGTTACTTATTTACTTTGATTTATCATAAGTGAATTGCGTACTCTCTAAGAGCGTATGTGGCGCAGTGGTTAGAGGTGCTCTGCGTCGCGCACGAGGTCAAATGTTCAATCTCGCGCTCGTGGCTCACCATGCTCTCCATCCCTCCAGGGTCGATGATTCGGTACCAGACAGGTCTGAGGCTTGTCTGATAGGATAAGCAGCACTGACTCGACACAGCGGGAGGACACCGCGAGTCTTTCTAATGGCCAGATATGCATTCAATTACCTCAGACGAAGCAAAAAAATGAAGATGAATGAATGGCGCATCCCTCAGGGATTGATCAACGCCAAGAGCTTTATCCTTTATCCTTTGTTCCTCAAGCATTCGGAAAGCTTCCCTTGTAAGAAAGCTTCGACCAATTATGAGTTAACCATGAGATTGGATAGATCTATGTTCGAATAAACTGCAAAGGAACATTCGTTTTTACATGGTCCGGATCACGTATACTGCACAGGTCTCATTATTTCTTTGATTTGATTCGTTTACTCGCACCCCATAACCCATGGAGGTCTTTTTATTTGTCCGATACTTCACAGTTTTGGTCTTTTTTATGAGCATTGTCAAACGTTGATCAAGTCGATTCTCTCAGAATTTTGGAAGCTATGCTAGATAAACTTCGTCGCCACACACAGTCATCAGATTTGTGGATTGTATGAAGGCCGGCGCAAGAAGATTTCCAAATCACGAATCTGAAGTGGGGAGATGTTCAATTGGCCCCGAAGAAGGATGGAGCTAAGGCCTTACATGAGTCAAGCAGTACCTCTACCACTGTTCTTGTTCTGCCCACGGAGATAAGATGTTCTCGAGAGCTGTTTTCATTGCTATGAT